TCAGTACCCAGGCTACGTGAAACAGCATCCTATCTTCGTTCTTCAGCCTAGAGTCTAGACTGACAGTCAGATGAAGAACCAGGAATTGCGCGGACTGATTGAAATTCATCTAATTATGGGATTTAACTTAACAGTATCATATATCTAATTATCAAAATGGCGGATCACAATTCGACGGGAAATTTCTCTGTGACGACTGTTGTAAGTAATCTTATATTTTGTTTTATTAGTTTTATTAGTAATATAACAAATTGTTTTAGGCATAACGAAGATTATGATATCATATTGTGAACTTTCTAAAACAATGGTAAACATATTCACGGTATTTTCCAATGATCAACTGTAAGAAGAATCGAGACTAAATAAAGAATTGGGACGTCCGTACTGTATTAGCGGTATGTATACACCATGCCGAACCTTAACAACCTGTAGGCATTACAACAATCTCAATTCATATGGTTTAACGTTAATACATGCCGCATGATTTTTGGTATGGCGTTTAACATAATTATGTTGTGTTTTATTGGCTATTAGATAACTTTATGTCTGTATATAAAAACGCCAGGAATTTCTATAAACACGTCATATCAAAAAATCTCATTCAGCAGATATACTTTTAGATATTTGTAAATAGAATTGGAGCTATAATAATGATGCGGTGAATTGGTTTTGCTCACAATGAACAAACACACCAGCTGTACTCAAGATGAGGCACACATTAAACTCATCAGCTGTACTCACGATTGAGCATACATCAAATTCAATTAGTTTCAGTTATGGAGATGTAAGAAGCTTTGATAATATTGAAGTTTCAATAGGTCGCATCAACTGTTCTCATATTTAAGCTTCGAGACCCAAGCTTTCTTAAGTCAGCTGTACTCATATTGGAGATTCTATCAGTCATACCAGTTGTCCTCACACTTCACCATAGTCTCCAAACGTCACGTCACCCGTTCTCACATTAAATCTTCATTAAATCGCATAACCTGTAACGTATTAAAGCTCCAAGAAGTCAAATAAGCTTTTCTCACACTTCAGCTTCAAGAAGTTATATCTGAAAATTGATCTCATACTTCGGCTTTAATAAGTTTCGTCACACTTCTGATATTAAAGTTTCAATGAATTGATTCTTTTATTCTCAGACTTCAGCTTAAATGAGTCTCTTCAGCTGATCTTGCGCTCCAGCTTTAATAAGTCATATCTGACAGCTGTGCTAACACTTCAGCTACAATAAGCCAGTCAAATAAGCTTTTGTTAAACCTAAACTTCAGTAAGTCTGGACAGCTTTCATAAGTGTCGTCAATTGTTCTCACACTTCAGCTTTCATACGTGTCGTCAGCTGTACTCACACTTCAGCTGCAATAAATCTCGTCAGTTGTTCTCACACTTCAGCTTCAATAAGCCTCGTCAGCTGTCCTCACACTTCAGCTTCAATAAGCCTCGTCAGCTGTTCTCACACTTCAGCTTAATAAATCTCGTCAGCTGTTCTCACACTCAAGCTTTGATAAGTCTCATCAGTATTTCTCACACTTCAGCTTCAATAAGCCTTGTCAGCTGTTTTCATACTTAAGCTTTAATAAGCATCGTCAGCTGTTCTCACAGTTCAGCTTCAATAGATCTCGTCAGTATTTCTCACACTCTTTAACTTCTGTAAGTTATATCTGGACAGCTATTCTCATTCTTAAGCTTCCATAAGTCTCGTCAAATGTTCTCACACTCAGCTTTAATAAGTCTCGTCAGTATTTCTATTACTTTAACTTCTATAAGTTATATCTTGACAACTGTTCTTACTCTTTAGCTTCCATAAGTCTCAGCCACTGTTGTCACACTTCAGCTTCCATAAGTCTCAGCCACTGTTATCACACTTCAGCTCCATAAGTGATATAACTGCACATGTTAAGCACATCGACGGCATCAACCCAGAAAATGTTAGTTTAAGAATCCACGTAGAAGCTTCACAGGGTTAATTCAAATGACGCCGTTGACTATTTCATTAGCTGTGACTTTTAATATCCGGTAGAGTATTTAATTGCGAGGAATAACTGTATGAAGTAGTAGACTTATTATCAAATAGCAATTGACCATCGTATTCACCAGACAAGTAAACCTGGACTACTTAAGTTTTTTTCCTGGCTTAGAAAGATTTTCTTTGATATATATGTATTGACATCAGGATAACAATATTGTGATTGCATTGGTAGTGTAAATACATATGGCATAGAGTTCTCATTTAGAAAATACATGGAGTAAAGTTTGGTCAACGTGCTAGTGCTTATGCAATATTGAAAGTCCGTTTAGAGATGTACCTACCACTGTTTAATAGGTACTGATCTGGTCACTATGCTTTTTGTCTTAATTGATACGGAAGTCCATTACGTACCGAATCATCTTCTTGAAATATATTTAGTGATAAGCAGCAGTGAATTAATACCATTCAGCTTTGAAGCACACTGAAACCTCCGTAGTATCTTTTTATTTTATTTTATGGTGAAAAACATCTCTTTTTTATTAATTCAAGATCTGAAATTATTCTGAACCAGAATAGCTACGTGCCTTTGCAACCTCCGTAAAGGCTGCTTTTTCGTGGAGCTTTAAATAGCTACATTCAACACATGGTAATTGTTACTTGATAAGACGCTTTATTACATTTTCTTCTCTTTAGTTTCATAATTGATCAATTATATTTCGCTTGAGGATATCAAATTTTTAAAACGAACTTATAAGTGAATTAAACTTGGTAGTTAGATGTCTCATTTACTGGGGGTATAATTTGATGGGGTCGTGTTTATTAAGTAGCGAATGGAGGTGAGCTATAAAAGACACATTCCATACTTAGATGTGACGTTTATAGTAAATCTTGGTGAATCTTGATTAATTTACATTTGGTAATAAAGGAAAAAATACGAACAGTGGCACTTGGCAAAATATATGCAATTATAGTAAAAATAAAGATTTCTCGATTTTTTTTTATAAAGATATTTTCTTATAGAAATTATGTGAGAAATCGTTCATGAATAGATCAGTTCGTGCTAATCTTATGAAAATCGTAAGGTATCGCGTAGTCCTGGTGGTGATTGACGTTACTAATTGTTCTGGACATCATAAAAGGCATCAACATAGCTGTGCAATGAAGTCCAGATATGTGTTAGAGTGGTGTGACCGTCTTATGTATAAAGTAAAACGAACGGTAGTGTTGTACAAAGACTTTCCAATACATTTGATCTGTAAATACAGGTGTCCTTCTGCCACCTCACGTCACGAAGGATGGCCAATTGTCAGATAGCAGGTGTGGAGTTTCCGTAACTGCCAAAGGGTAGTAGATCACATGTCAAATCCTGAATATCAATAAACGATCAGTAGATCTCATTTCTATTACTGCCAAAAGCCCGCGGCAGAATCATATGTACAGTTTCGATACGTATGTTTAGTCCAGTAAGGACATAGAACATAAATGAGGGAAATCTATGTCAAGAATTCCTGATCTGATTCAGTGATTTGGAACTCAAACCTTTTACAAAATACTACAAACACACTAGATCAAAGCGTTTAATTTCAGGCTTTAAACTTTGAAAGACCACAAATTATCGAGTATGAAACAACAGATAAAGGATACTCTAGGAAACGATATGTTAGTAAAGCACCTGTGTATATCAATGTTTATATAGGGGAAACGTGTATACAAAATGTATTTAATTATTACCTATTAAAGATTAAATGGATTGCATTATTTGTTGTCCTCTGTGATCAATATATATATAAAGTATCGCTGAAAAAAGTTTAAAATTGATAAGCACACTAAATTGTGTAAATATTAACAGCAACATTGTGCATGTATACCATTCTTTGTGAATATGATACAGCCTAACCTCGTGATCTCGAACTCTTACAACTCGAAGACCCCGTTTAATTCGAAGTGATTTACGTCCTGGTCAGACCTTTCATCAAATTTAAATTAAAACTAAATATAACTCGAAGTTTTCCAACGGCCTCGAAAGATTCGAAATAATGAAGTTCGACTGTAAACCATTAACAGCGTCGACCATGACTACATAAACATATATTTAATTTCTTGCTAAATTTGTTTCACTTCGTTCATTTCAAATAAAGACCGAATAATAATTAAAATGTTGTTTATGCGATTACAATCTGATTTATAAACGTAGTAATTTACATTTAGAAAACTTTACACAAAAAGCACAAATGAAAAGCCTGTTAAAATCATTCAATGTTGCAGTGTCAAATCTGTCTGATAGATAATTTCTGTTAAGTATTTAACTTGTACTGTGACAGCTTGGTTAATAAACCATTTAGAAAGAAAGTGTACTATAAGTACATTCTATCTTATTATAATTAAATTCTAAACTGACTGATCTGGAGAAGAAAGCTACCTAACTATTGTTATCATTTCTTTTCTCTCCAAGTCTATAAAATTAAGACGGTAACAACGGCTATAGGTATTAATTGTCCGAGACTATAATTCTATTTGTAATCTAAAAGAATTCGCCCAGTCCGATCGATTCATTTACAATTCGAAATTAAAATTTAAAAACCACGACCGATCGCCTAACATGTTATCTCGTCATTAATGGCCAGCTTTTATTTTACATGTTTTGGTAATGACAGTACTTCGTATAATCAGACCCACATTCACAACGTTATATATATGTGTGCCTGTGTTTACCGATATATTTCCTTCCCAAAATAACGAGGTTAGATATCACACGAGTAAGGACATCCATCATCACCTGTTGCACTGGGCATGTTGTTGACACTCATTTATCAGTATCATTCGACAAATTGTATGTAAAAACAAGACATCATACTTGAAGTGTATTGCTATCGTTATCGTACTGCCCCTACTTCAGTGGCTAAATGATTGTATGGTCAGAGCTTGGCTCTATCAAAGTACCGATCTAAGGAATATCGCCAAATGAGGAAAAAGCCCTATATCCAACATTAGCTATGTGAAGGTCCAGAAAGATTGCGCTGACAGATATCCTAAGTTGGTCGATGGAGTGATCAGTGCTGGTGAACTAATGACCGTTTGTAATCCGTGGATAATCTGAGAGTCTGGTCAATTTCCAGAAAACGAGAAAAACAAACCTCACAATAATTACAACAGATTGTGTTTATATATTTTACAGGAAGACTAAATTGAAATCGGGGAATTTGAAGCCTTCTTCAGGACCTATAGAGTAAAT